AAGTTGATTTATTTTTCATCTATGACAGTCTATTTTTTCACCCTTAAACATAATTGGCCTCAATAGTTTTTCATTTAGCAGTAAGCATTTATAGTAAAGTCATATCTTGTAGAAGATTGACATTTGCAGAACTGATTTTCCATTTGGTTGCATGCTGTAGTTTAGTTTTTTTATCCCTAGTTTATGAACCAAATTTGCATGGTTGTAATATTGGTGTTTTGTTTTTTTTGAATTTATAAATTAGTTAAAAAAAAATAATTCCTTACACCCTGTTTTCTACATTACACTATGTGTATGTACTTCTAAATGCTGTTATCATTATTTGTGCTATGTTCTAGATGTGGTTCTTGATTTCTAAGTCTCATTGTAACTATAATCAGTTTAATCTCAGATGGTAGTTCCAATTGCAAAAGTGAAATCTTTTTGATATTTCTATGCATTCTCTTAGCGTTGCTCCCAAGTCAATACAGTATAGGAAACTTATCGGAATGAATTGGAGGATGAATGCTAATGTATGTCTTTTTTTGAATTTCTAGATGGTGATGGATGATGGTTCGTCTGTGAAGCCCTCAGAGATTAGCAAGAATAGCTCCTCTCACTCTTCTACCTCATAGGAAAATTTATTAAGTAAGTGAATTTTAAGTGTTTTTTTCACAGGATGAAACTGTGAAAATGTGACATGCTGTTTTTTCGACTTATTTAGAAGATTGTAATGAAAACTTCAAGCATTATCCAATACAGGTAGTTACTCTTGTACATTTTTGTGATAAAACTACTTGTTTGAACATAATTTCTCTGTACATCAATAAGCGATTCATTGTTATTGTAAATGTTTGGCATTTAGTGACAGATTCTTTAATTTTTTATTAAATGAAGCTTTGCTAGCAGTTAAAGAATGTTGAGTAACATTTTCAGTACCCAATTGTTTCATATACCAAATATTCTAAGAGGCAGAAATTATTGTTATTATATGGCAAGTACTTGAAAGGGTGGCAGATCTTAAATGTTCATTACAAAAGAATTGTTGATAAAAATAAATCATGTGAAATATCCTTCTATTGGAAGGAATGTAGGTGTATGGAAACAAAACCCCCATCTGAAATTTTGTCCAGCACCCCAAAAGTGTGTGTACACTTCTAGCTAAATAAATTTTACTGTTCGTAATTCTTTGTTAGGTACGTTCATTGAAAGGGCACATTATAGTGCACTGTTGGCTGAGACTGATCATTTTGTGAAGATGTAGCATCTGTGAAAACTTTTATTTTCTAACATTCATATTTGGCATTTGGAAGGCTCTTTGACATTTTATAGGTATAAGGTGCTGTAGTGATCCTTGCATTTTGTCTAACATCCTCATCAATAGCCTGACTATACCTTAGCTCTGTTCTGTTGTTACATTGTGCCCTCCTTTCTCCTGTATCTCCATGAAGTCCTCGAGTTTGGATTTGTTGAATATTGCTTTAAACTTGGAAAATGTAGGGTCTGTGTACCATTGTGCATTGTTAATGCATAAAGGCCATGAAAAATGTTGCTACTTTTTCATTTTTTATTTTATTTATTTTTATTTGATAAGGTTGGGAGCAAGTGGCTACTGTTTAGTCACTGTAAGCTGTCAATAAACAAGTTTGTTACATTCTTTGTGCAGATTTCTATTTTGTCCAGTGTCTAGTCCTCAATGTTTCTGAATGCATCTCAGCTATTTTAGGGTTGCCATGACTCAAATTTTAAAATTTCCCGACAAAATTGTGACAAGAATTTTTGTAAGAAGGAGGTCCGAAGGCTCAAAGCTGCGCCGAGAAGGGCGCGGTACCGCGGCGCTCACTGTCTCTTGGCTGGCGAAGCCACTTTTCCCGACACTTCAAAACCCTGACAACTTCCTGATTTACCTGACACGTGACAACCCTGTATTTCCTTAAAGCTAGACATGTGTTGCCGAATTTAGTAGAAGACGGAAGATCAAGGGAAAATGAACCAGCATAAAGAATCATCAGGTGGAACAAAAACTGTATTTTCTCTCCAACAATACAATTTCTTGACTGCTGCACGTTACAGACATTGTCTCCTTTGAAAAATATATATTACTTACAAATTTTCCCCATAATATAGGCAACATCAAATGTGATTCACAATATAATTACAAATTTAGGTTAATTTTAAAACCCTTACAAGTAACAAACTTAAATTAAGACTCGGTAATATCGCGAGTGGACATCTGTGCATTTTAGTGCCCAGAGTTTTCTAAATTAATGGCAGTATTCTTTAGAAAGATGGCAAGACAAATCCAAAGTCCTGGCCAAGTTCCTAAACAAAATAGAATCTAGTTCAACTGAACATGATACTTGGCAGTCTACAACAAAATTACGCTCACTATTGGATTGATGTAAAATTTTTACATTTTTGTGAACTGCAGTAACAGGTTAAATTCTACAGAGAAAAAGAGGATCGTATTTTATTGATTAATAGCTATCAACCAAAAAGCTTCTGCATTCTAACATATGGCCAGGACAAAACTTGCTCATTTGCCCAAACAGTCTTCGATAATGCGCCTGATGGAAAATCAGAGCAAAAACACACATGGATGTGGGTAACAGAAACTTCAAGCTTATGTACTAAAATGCTTGTTCACAATGTTCCTGAAGATGCAAATTTTAATTTGAAGTTCTATGATGATTTTAAAAGAGTTAACAGCATTTCAAACAAAAGAAATTAAAAGCATTTCTTTAAAATGAAAAAAAATATAACTGATTGACAAATCAAAAAGAAGTCAGCAACACAAAAAATGCATGTAGAACTTCCTTTTTGTTTATTTCACATGTAATAATGGAACTCCTTGGCAGGTATATGAACACACAATAACAGCTAGCCTTCATCTTTAATTACTGATGTTGGTCACAGGATCAGACTCTGCATGTTCAGTCATGAGAATTATTTATTAACAACCAAACAGTTAGGATGCAATTTGCCTTGAAAAAATAAGGAAAAGTAGTAATGTATGTATTTGATGATAAAACAGAACACAAAAAAAGAAGTTTCAGATAAGACTCATGTGAACAGACACATGGTATACATAAAAAG